CCCCCATAGTCTGTAGGCCTATTACCGGTACTCATCTCTGTAAATGGATGTTAGCATGTATGCCTAATTTATACAAATCATGTCAAGAATTCAACCTATCTATGACTGATAAAATTATCAGCTTTTGATTAATGTGGCAAAATTATTGTTGATTTATCCATCCAAATATTAGCCCATATCAGGCAATAGGATAAAATTACCCATTAGACCTGAATCTAGGGTAGTTCTTTATACCAATTATTGTTTATATCTTAAAACAATCTGTATAATTACAGTGCACTAGTGAAATATAGCTTCACAATGTATCAAGAAACCATTGCAATATCACTAATTAATTCACTATCCATAGTGAAGCATAGCGATAGAATTATCGCATTTATAACTTGATAGAATTATCAAGATTCAGCACTGATCAAGAAGTGATAAAATTATCACTAATTGTAAAGCATAGCGATAGAATTATCGCATTTGTAACTTGATAGAATTATCAAGATTCAGCACTATTGAAGATGTGATAAAATTATCACTAATTGCGATAGAATTATCGCATTTATAACTTGATAAAATTATCAAGATTCAGCACTGATCAAGACGTGATAAAATTATCACTAATTCTAAATCATAGCGATAGAATTATCGCATTTGTAACTTGATAGAATTATCAAGATTCAGCACTACTGAAGACGTGATAAAATTATCACTAATTGCAATAGAATTATCGCATTTATAACTTGATATATATATATATATATTATATATATATAAAATTATATATATACATTAAAATACCACCAATTGTTCAGTAATGTGGCAAAATTACCACTCATACTTGAACATGTGGCAAATTATCACAGGCTCTTCTGCAACTCATGCAGTAGAAAAAGTTTCCAGACTTACTGTTCTAAGTAAAAATAAATGCTTGATCACAAGGGTCCCTTTCTGTATTTCCCACTCTTGGACTGGCTCTCTACAATGCATCTAATATGTTATTAAACAGAAAACTGCTGAAAGTATAACATTGTGTCATATATGCATAATAAGCTTCTTTTTTTTTTTAAATCATTAATACCAGTTTTGTATATATATATATATATATATATATATATATAACCATATTGTTATATATATACAAACTATTTATATAGCTATCACTTGTACTATGTATCACAGCACCCCTGATTGCCCTAATCACAAAAGTTATTCACTACAGAGTTCTTCAAGCCCTTTAACTTCCAGTACACAACCTGCCTTCTGTTTTTAACTTCTTCTTTTAAAAGTTGATTTGCCAAGACTATTTACTTATTATATAAAACAACTCGGCAGTGTCTGGTGGAATATCTTGGTAACGACTGACACACATATATCTTATTTCAATGATACCGGTTTAAAAACAAGTCACATGTCGCCATTATTTTTGACACAATCTCCCTAACCGAATCCTCATCAGCCTGCGGCTGATCGATATCGTTTCCCGCAATATGTAAAGTTAGCTTCTGTGGTCGGTTCCTTTGAATCTCCTCTTCTAGCACTCTAATGTCCATACTTCGACCTTATCTGTCCCCACAAATCCCAATGACCGAAATCGCTACATTTTGTACATTAAATATAATTGTTTGAATGTTGTCTCTGATTCCTTGCATAATGATATAAGCGTCGAATGTGTGAGTCACCAAATATTAATACAGACATCTTGATGAAGGAAGAACCCAGTACAAAACAATGATCATTGGGACAACACAGGTTACGAATGATGAAAAATCGGAACCACAAGGCCTTCCACGTGTGCCAATCCAAATTTCACTCGTCTTTTAAATATATTCCTTGGAAATCCAAAAGATCACACCACGAGAAGTCCATCAAATGTATTAACTGTGCACTGGACACGCTGTAAGCCAACTTGCTTGTTCAAAAATAAAATTGTATTTCCATACAAATATGGCGCTGCCACTGACTGTACTCAATCATATACTGAGGCTGTTCCAAAAACAAGACCGAACAAAAGTATTAGAGTTATCTCGCTTGTCCCACTTTCAATACACAAGAAATGGGCATAAAATTATTTATGAACATAAATAGCATTTCTTTTAGTTGAATGATGGTGAGAATATTGTCCGTAACTTACTGATAAATCTTCAGAAGATCGCATGAGGGTGCCAATTGGTTCTTCGACTGTTTATGGAGACTAAAGAATGTGTGTCAGTGAAATTCCCAAATTTAAGTCGGATCATCCAACTTCATTTTCAGCAAAGATAAAACGTGACGCTGTTTTAAACACTTTGACGTTATAATCCATGCGCCGTAAGGTGATACAATACATGGCATAAAATCACATAATTTGTTTATTTATGCATATATTTATCTGAAATTTGCTGTGTATATTATTTAAATATGTACTAAATAATAGTGAAAATTTCAGAAAGCAGTGAAGTTTATTTTTTACACTAGACAACTTGTCCACGATTTTACGGGACAACCCTCGTATTTATTGTGTTTAAAATATTGATTGACTTTGATATGAGTTAAATGAATTTTGTTGGATTGAATTTAAAATCAATGATTTTATACTTTCATTTTCCCGTTCTTTGTATTTAGAGCTACTGCGTGTCGTTGCTATGTCCAAATGGTGTGTTTGTTGTTTATTGTACTTTCATTTGAAAGTAATGAATGGATTTAGAGTAGAAAGTGAGCTTATTCTGAGGTTTGTTCCGCCTGACTGACAACTGTACATTGGATTGTTACGATTTGATATCTCTTTAGTGTTTCTTATATCAAGAATGGGCATGCATAAAGCATAAATAATTGAAGGAAAATACACAAGTCTATGAAAAAAATTAAAATAGTCTTTGAAAAGGCGAAATTAAAAACTTTAAATTGTGGTACCACTCCATTTTTTTCATTGTCCTGGTATCAACTGAGCTAGTCTGACTATAATACCGAAAGGTATAAATTTGAAACAGATTATCAAAATCAAGTTTCCTCATTTTTTTGTAGGTTTTTTGTGAATTTCGACCCTTAGGGCAGGGATGCCTCTAAAAAAATCCTATCTTAAATTATTCCTTACATCCCTACCTATCAAAATATCACAATTTTATTTAGGGGCAGGCCTGCCCTGAAGGACTTCTAGGTCAAAATTTATGCAAAAATCAATGCTTTTACGGACAAAATGGTGTTTCGGCCAACTTTGGATGTTTATTGTAAAGTTGTAATTAACAACTTTTATTTTATATATATATATATATATAAATATATATATATATATATATATATATAATACTAGTATACAAATTTGACAAATTTAGACATATATACGATAGAAAAACAACAAAAAAAGATTAATTTTTGAATGTCAAAAAATGTGAAATCATAGTGAATTTTTCTTCTCAAAGAAACTGCCTGGAGCATGCAAAACTAGTGTATCTTTGTATATCATACAAAATTTTCACATTTTTATATAGAAAAAATTAAATATTTTGTCAAAAATTTTCAAAGACCCACTGGCCAGAAAAGATGAATTTTAATATTATGTAATATTTTTTATTTTATAACAGGGGGGTTTTAAAGAACAGCATGGCCAAAGGCAATCAGGTGAGAGATGTGACCCATGGGCCTCTTTTTATTCCTTCATCATAATACAAACATCAATTGCTCTGAAATTTTTTTCTACATATGTGGCAGATTACTATGTAACATGATTTTCACCCTCTTTTCAGATTTTGAAAGATGTACATTTTTTCTGTATATTCACAAAACATGGATATGCTGACAAAAAATATCAATCTTTCCTGGTCATGGATTATGATTATAGTATTTTTCGGTGAAATATGTTTTCTAAAGAAACTGCCTGGAGCATGCAAAACTAGTGTATCTTGTATATCATACAAAATTTTCAAATTTTTTGTTAAATATTTTCTCAGAAGGGATGCCTAATTAATATTATGTAATATTTTTTATTTCATTTTAGCCCATCAAAATCTCCTCAGTATTGCTACAATAAGTATGAAAAACGTCAGTCAGCAATTGATAAAGATGTACATGTATATTGGATATGCTGACAAGGTCATGGATAGAGCATAGTATGGGATAAATGGAGATAACAAACAGGATTAAAACTCATAAGTCTATTAATTAATTCAAATTTTGGAGTAGAGCAATACTAAATAAAAAACAAAAAAAAAAGTTGCAGTGATGTAATTAATTAAAACAAAATTCAGTATAACAATATGACTTTTATTGATACTTATTAAACTATAATTGAAAGGGAAAATGCTTTAAATATAAAACTAAACATTTCTTCTGAAATAACAACCTTTATTCTAATTATACAACAATTGACAATTTACAAAAGAAAACCAAAACTGTAAATGTTCAAATAAAACATTATCTTTAAAATTTTCTTTAGAAACAGTTACTGTATACTGGGTTATTTTCGCCCCGTGTTATTTTCTCCCTTTCACACTTACAAACAATTTTAGCCAGTTTTAAATTCGCCCAGTCATCGTTTTGTTTAAGAAATAATACTGTATTCTTTGAATTCGCCCAGTTTTAAATTCGCCCAAATGAGGATAGGGCGAAAGGCCCGAAAATAAAACGGGGGCGAATATTTTCCTGTATACAGTAATTAAGTAGTAGCAGTGAATCTGTAGTTGGACGGATGATCTAATAGGGCAAATGTAAGGTAAACTAAACACAACTGATAAAGCTTCAAATACATAATATGCACTATTTTATCTGTTTTTATGTTTACATCTTATTAGTGTTGTAGACTTAAATATAGCTAATTATTCATAATAATCTGGTTCTGTGTAACAATTTTAATCCTTATCCTTTGGGAGAGGACTACTGATGTGATTGAAACTTGTGTCCACTCCCTTTGACACATTGTTGAAGAAAACAGGTTCAAAACAAGAGTTCATAAGTATATTTCAAGCTGATATAAAACTTTTAAACTGTTAGATGAGGAATCAACGCAAATGAAACATTTATATATTCTAACTCATTTTAATTTTAAAAACGAAGCGTTAAAAAATCTTATTTGTATCAAGAGTTTAAATTCTATTCCTTTTACACAACAAATGATTACAACAAAGGGTTAGCTATTTGTAGTATAATAATTAATTTTATAGTGAATTAAATATCACACAAATATGAAAATACTAAATTATGAACGTTTTAGTCATACATCACAGGAAATTTAAAACATCGGATACACTTGCAGTTTGTCTGGATAAAATATTATTATCTTAATTTTGGCGCCTAAATATTTATAAACCATTAAAGTTTCATGTATCAAAGAAATCTTCTGGCTTCAGTATTTGATGTCAACCTTTAACCTATCAATGAGGCGATAGAAATAATCTACAGTAGTGAATGGTATCTACATTGAAGAACCCAACAGGAACTCTTCTGAAGGTAAAGGGTGCTTGTATGAGGATTGACAGTGTTAATCCAGGTACACTTTACGCCATTCATTTCTCTGTAACCGTCTTCTTTTTATTGTTTTGAGATGGGGGCTGCAAAGATAAACAATATATTTCTGGAGACTGTAAGCTATCGTAAACTTCATTTAAATTATAAATTGACAAAACAATTTAAACGAAATGAAGACAATAAATGAAGACAATGAAGAAAAATAGACAACAGTTTTATAGAACAATCTTGTATCGCTTGGTAATGATATAGCTGAATAAAATAAAGTAAGATGGGTAGTCAAACGCAAACCGGTGGCATGGAGTTTTTCTCTTTCATGTCCTCATAGCGGTCACGTGCTATCCTCAATGGTTCTACCATAGTGCTGTCAATAACAGGGAAAAGCTGGAAAAAAGACAATTTTCAAATTGGTAAACAGACTATATTTTTAAACCTTTATTTCTACATCAATTAGACTTTAACATTACACGTGTATTAATACTAATTTAGTATAAAGCAAACGAGTAGAGCAAACGTAAGAAATTTCGAGTTTTACCTTTCAATAGAGTTGTAAATGTGTGTGGTTTTTTTTTCAATTTTGTCGAATAAAACATATGGAGATAATAAACATTACTCAAGATCAAAGGTCCATAAAACAATACAAAATAGGAGCAGAGCAAAATGAAATTCAAGGTACATGAAGAAAATAATGAGTGGGCAATTTTATAATGATCTTCTAAATATATTACTTATATAGGATTTATTTCATTTATCTCCCTTTTATAACATGCTCACGAAACTTTGACCAGTGCTCTGTTTAAACATTAATTATTTCATTTTCTTTCTTCTATTACATGTATATAGGCCATTGGGAAAAATAAATTTGTTTTTCTGGGAATATATTCTGGAAAATATAACATGCTGAAAAAGTGGACACAAATAACTTTCAAGTGAACAAACTCTGCAAATTACACAACGCCATTTCTGTTAGGGTTTAATAAATTTCTAATCTTTTTTACAAAATAATTTTCAGAATATTGTCACAATATCTACCAGGCTTCTATTTACCTTTGCCACTGTTTCAAACATCGGAATGAGGACAAATTTAATGAATCCGATCTGCGCTGTTGGTTTTGTGACCTTGTCCCTGTCCATAAATGGTGCAACGGGTAAGCCCTCCATTTTCTCTCGATCAGACTGAAATTATAATGATATAGAAGAGATGATAATTTAATACCATATATATGTATATCCACGTGTTCTATCTGGAAAACAACTTTTTAAAGAAAATTTTGCTATGCAAAAAATCGATCTCAAGGTTTGTTAGTCACTAATTCTAACTCATCATGAAAATAAAATAATTTTTATGAAGAAAGAACACTGATTATTTTCACACTAAAAGCAACATATTATCTCCTGACGAGTCATTACAGCTGCTAATAAAATTGCCTTAATTTCTTGTATGATTTGCCTATACAACAAATCAATACAACTTTTACAGGCTTTAATTAGAATCCAACCGATATCAAGGTAAATGGGCTGGATTAATCTGTTTGTATGAAAATTACGAGAACTTTTTTAATTACCTGATTAAAGTATTCCTCAAGAAGACAATCTACCCATGGTTCAGAGACCTCCATAGGTCGTACTTCATTGGAGATGTCACAACACTTTATGAGCACCATCTTTAACTACAAATGCATAAGGTATATTCGTCAAATGTCTGTCAGTAGAACGAGAGTCAGTTTTAATAATAAAAGCAGTTGATATTTTATTTATATGTTCCCGGTATTTTAAGGATATCCTATCCTCAGCCAGGAAGGATAACTCCAAAAATTTATAATTAATTTGAAATGCATCAAAATGAGGCTTGAAATTGAAATTTTTTCATGCAACAATTTTCATTGTATTCATCTTTGTAAGATTCAAGGTCTTTGGAAGTCTTATTATAGATCTAATAAAAGTTGACATTTGTACCCTACCAAAGGAGAAAAAATTAATACAGTTTTAGAGAAATTTAGATTTTCTTGAATCCAGCCTTAGATACCAATGCTTATTAGCATGATATGAAATGAGAAGTAATGTGTGGTGTCTTGCAATGATAATAAAAGCCTTTTACACTATGTATTATAGAATATATGACGGAAAAAGAAGACAAAAAATACCAAATAAGTATAAAATTCATGACAATTTCTCTAAAAGCCTGGATACCTATTGTTTTTTAACCTAAAATATATTTGTTGATCAATTTGCAATTAGAAAATGCATTGCTGATGTTCTAATTCGTTTTTTCTGCAAAAATATTGGAGATGTGACAATTTTCCCTATATAAAATGATTAACTTTAATCTTTAACTTCAAAGAAACACTGTGGATAAATTTACATAACTTTGTGAATTCAGAGATACTTTTATGAGTATTTTTGATTACTTAACTGCTAATTTTATAAACCTGAGGATCGGACTACCTTAAGACACTGTTTGACAAAATATTACAAAACACTATAGAACACTGTTAAATTATAATAACTCTATTTACTTGATGATCATATTCTTCTACAGTTATTGTAATTTACATGCATTGATCATACAAGAAAGAAAACTACACCATGCTACATTTCATGCAAGCAAAAAATGACCGGAAAGATAATTTGAAAGAATGTTTAATGTGATAGTACAAATCATGAAATATGAATGAATGAAAGTTAATTAAAAGAAATAAATTTACCCATCTGCAATTGATATGGTGTAAAATGTGGTAAACGGAAGTTCAAACAGCTTTGAAAGAAAAGATTGGCAGGTTATAAGTAAAAAGGATAAAATAATTTAAAAGGAAAAAGGTATATGGCCGGACGTGATGAAATTGATAACATCATATTACCGAATCCAAGTGGGATTTGTTTTCCCATTCAAATTTTTTAATATTGTTCGAAAGGGAGTCCAGGATTTCTTTGTGTCTTGCCATATCTGTGGCTAGAATAAGCTGCAACATTCCCTGTCATACACAATACAAATTATAAATCTCTGAAAAAGCAATGGAGGGTGTAAACACAATTTATCATTTTTATTGGAGGTATGCCATTTTCTATAAATTACGACAACAAATTTACACGATCTCATCCAAATAACAAACACTGACGACATTTATTTATGTCAGTTTGGATGTTGGCACCGTTAAAACACTTTTGTTTCCCCCGCTATAGACGGTAAGAACACCCCTAATTTCAGACGAATGATCATTTATTATTATTTACTCCCTTTATTTTTAAGTACACGTGAGAAGAGAAAAGACAAACCATAAAACAAAAATAAATTCTAAAGAAAGTCAATTTAATGTTTTCTCTAATATCATTATCAGATAAGCAAACACAAAATCGAAAAGAAAACAACAGATCAACTACATTCAGAACTCCAAAATTACAGACACTGCTGCCCTCTATTTAATACCGTATCAAGGCTATCCTTGTTCTTGTAGTCAAATTCGGGTTCGAGTTTCATTTTAAAATTATCCATTATTTCTCCGTGACGTGCCATATCCGTGGCAAGAATCAACATAGTTATGCCCTTATCAAAAATAAATGAATACTAACGGTGTTAAATTCACATATATGGGATAGTTCAATCAAATTATTATTAATCTGAATAAAATTTATTTATTTGGTTTAAAAATGAAATATTTCTGAATATAAAATTAACCACTTACAGCACGGATCCTTTTGAATGTATCTTTATCAACATTTGCAAAAATATTGCACTCTGGATTTGACAAGATTTTAAATGCAACCGCACAGTGGTGGTTTTCTAATGGTGATATGTCATTGTATCTGATGGCCAGTTCAGTCCTGGCATTTATCTGATACCTGAAATTGAAACAATTGTCTTTTAAAAATACTAATGTGAGACTGGTCTTCGTTAAATGTTCCTCTTTTCTTCTCATTCTCAAGGTCTTTTTTTTTTTTTTTTTTTTTTTTTTTTTTTTTTTTTTTTACAAATTTGTTTCTTTACCCTCAACCGACCAGCTGATTTAAAAAACGCCCGACTTTAACCTTTTTTTAACCTCCAGAAATATTTATCAGTCATTCCAATTTTTTCTCTCTAATCGAACCCTCTAATCGAAAATTTTTTTACCATAAATTTTCTCCTTTCCGTTTAAATGCATAATTTTTTATCAAGGCCGGGAGAGGACAAGCAAACTTTTTTAAAATTATAAATATACGGCTCAAGATTTTAAACTCTGTATGCAGAAACAGTACATTTCATTTTGCATAACAGGAATGAATATGAATTAAAATTTCACGTAGGTATTTCTGTAAATTCCTACGTGTTATTGTATCCAGGATGGTCCAAATCGTGACAAACGCATGCAGTCATCAGAATTCCGAGATCCTCGCGGGTCATGACCTCCCACAAATGACACAGGTGTATCATTCCATACATCATCTGAGTGACGCAGAAGCAATGGCGGAAGTTGTGAAATGGGTTATTTCTATAGTTTTCTTGTACGCACAACTGTATAAAGGAATTAGATTAATGCATACAGTCGAGACAAATCACACATTTAAAAATAGCTTCCAGCGAGCTTCATAAAAACAATCTTATTTTCCTTAGCTTTTTTGGAAGAACTTACAAAAAATCGTTTCAGTGTAATTGGATTTATGTTGAACTCGGCAACAAGTCCCAGCTCATGAAACATGTGTTCAAGCAAACTTAGCATCTGCAAGGAAAATTGGATTTGTTTAAATGTTTTATAAACTGAAAATTGAGATAAAATCATATACATGTACTATTAGATATAAACAAAACTTTACCAATGTCTCCTTAGTTATTTGTGTAATACACAAATGAAAAAAAAATTCTGGAATTTTACCTTGTTCATGTAACTGAAGCATCAAGAAACAAGTAAGTTGTTTTCGAAGCAAATTATGATCAGACAAATACAATAGGTATGACTTGGTATTCGTTAATGTACATTATTATTTATACCTCGTTTGGTTCCCAGTGCCAAATATCAAATGTAGGTTGCTTCAGGTACTCTATTGTTTCTTGCGAAAGTGTATACTGTAAAATATTTAAGTTATTAGTAAAAGCATACATTATATATATGATTAAATTAATTTGGTTCAAAATTTTAAAGATATAGTATTAATATTAAACTACACGTTTATCAGTACAGATAATACATATTTGTAATCCACTTCCATCATACCATATAAAAAGAATCATATGGATTAGTTCGAGGTCCACTTCGCTTCATTGAATAAAACTTATCAATATTAAATCATTCTAGTAAATATGATAGAAAGGGATTTCATGTTTAATATATTAAAAATTTGGGTAAGTTACAAACACTTTCGCGAGTAAAACAGACTTTTGAGTTCTGCATTCACAATTCTGCTTGCACTTTGGTACAGTAACCATATGTCACTTAAACTTTAAGCTTAGTAAATTTGTTTTGGAGATAAAACATGAAAAAAAGGTAAAATCCCTGTGGGATTCTCAACATTCCATATGATTCTTTAAATGAATGTTTCACTCATAAAACGTTGTAGCTTGATTATTGTCTGTGTGTATGTAGAGCGTTTTACCTTGCGGTAAGTTGATAAGGTTTGTTTTCTGTTCATTATATGAGTGTCCCTGCTACAAAAGGATCAAACAATTACCAAATCAATTTGTTTAACATTAAATTACCACTACATTGATACCATGGGCAAAGTTTTCACCGTCTCCCTTTTTTAATTAAAGATGTAAAGCATATGCGAATGTTTCTTTTTGTCCTTGTTTCTCACTGCACAACAAACAATGATACAAAAACGATCCTTGTAGCAGGTACTTGCATGCAGGAAAATACGATTTGTATTGTTTTAAAATTAACATTTGAACTTGATGTGATATTTTTCAAAGAACAATTAACAAATAACTTTTAAGATTTTTTTTCTGCTAATTTGGAAGGTACAATACGACACAAAATGATGGGTTAAATAAATAACTGGTAAAGTTTGTATCTAGAATTGTCTTAATAAGTAATTTTTCCATGATATATTCATTCCCTAAATGATATGTGTGGTGATATAAATACATCAAAATCACAAGCAAACAGAATGAATAAAAAAAAAATTCCGAAATCACAACCCCTCCCCCCAAAAGTGTCAGTAGAAATAAAAATCCCTTAAAAGTGTCAGTTAATTTTTAAATTTATTCTGTAACTCAGTTTCATGCTTGTGATTTACAACAAGGAGTGGTTGGGCAGTGTAACATCAAATGATATGATGAAAACTCTTTACCTTTGGATACGAAGGAACATCTCTTTTTAAACTTATCTTCCTCTCGTCACTCAACGAACTATAAAAATGATCAACTGAGTTACCGAAAAATACAGCTATGTCCGAGGATGAGTACATGCTTTGAGGGTGAAGAAATGAGAAAAATACTAATAATCTACAAAACAACTAAACAAAGACAAGAATATTCGCAGCAAGCTATATATTTTACATGTTAAACAAATTAGTAGGGTGAGAGTGTAAAATTTGCTCCAGGAAAGTCATGAGTGGTGTACTATAAAAACAAATAAATGGTAAACATAATAAAAAAACAAGACAGTTTTCAATATAATCACATAAAATGCTGGTTAGTATTTCTTATACAAAGGTTAATGTAAATAACATTCTAACATTGTTTTAAAAATCAAAATTAGCACATTTACCTTTATTCTTCACACATATACAATATTATAAAATTTCTTTTGAAAATATAAAATTAATCAAAGACTAAGAAAGGAAAGAGATAATACTAAAGAGAAGTTTCAAATAAGGTGTAGCAAAAAGAACATTTTGCAGTAAAACCGAAATGTAAGTTTTAGTGGAAAATTAAAGGGTTGGGTTTTGGACTTCGTTAGATTTTAATGCATCTAGGATACTTTACCTGACGGGGTGGGCCTCATCGCTATTGATATAAAGAAATATTTGGAGACATGTTTTGATGACAAGGGTCAAACCATTCTTTTACATCTAAACTAAGAGATATTTGGCAAAAATACTTACTAGATGGATACTGAAGAATTTTAGTTAGCAAGCACTACTATATACCTTCAGTTGTATGCATAAATGGAATTGTTGTGTTTAAGAAATAAATGAAGGAGTGTGATAGGTTTGAATTTGAAAGATGCTATTTGATAGTGTTTATATATTGGAAGTTTGTATTATACTTTACCTGACTGTACTGGTATCATCACTATTGATATAAAACATTTTTTGGAAACAAGTTGTATGCTAAATAATAATTCTACTAAATTCTACTAAATCTAATACTAGTCTGGGATGTTTGTTGTTTCAATGTCATAGGATGTAAAATGTCTTTTGAATAAGAAAAGAATGTATTTTATAATTTTATTTGATATTTATAAAGACTCCATAAGTACTTTGACCTGGCTATGAACCTTAATAATGGTTTCACATTTTGTCATTCAGTATTACACAGCTAACGATTTCATTATTTGATGATGAAAATGGCTTCTAACTTTAAACAAAAAGAAAAGTTTCTCCAAGTATCCAAATCTCAAATTAAGGTCAGGTTCATCAGACAAATTTTCCTTTTCTTGAGGACAAATATTTCGATTCTTTCGTCAATTTCATGTTCAATTATTGTATAATTTACGTCTTATAACCTTTCACTGAACTCAATTATATGGAAGCTGTATCTAATATCTTAAAAAATCATTGCTTTGCAAACAATGCTTTGAACTAATTAATGTAAAACAACTCTTCTTACATTATGTATGAAAATTCAGCATACATATATAAAGAAAAAATTGGAACGAACATCTTGAAATCGTTAATTGGTGGTTGTGTTAGCGTAATTAGCCTTATAGTGGAAATAGAGACATAATTTGGGATCCCTAAAAATATATTTAATTTAAATACACTTACCTCAATCGGTTAAAATCAACAAATTTCTTTTGGGCATTCCAAATCTGATCTTTAATATCTGAGATATCTCTTTTACATTTTTCAATTTCAACAGCTTTCAAGCCTTCCACTGTAACAGAAAATTAAATTTTAATTTTACATTTATTATAAAGGTTTTATAAATGCCAGCATGTGTACGAGATGCAATAAAACGGTTTACGTACACAATATGTTCCAAATTAGAATGTCCATTATTATTATTATTTGTTGTTCGTATTTTGTTTTTTAAGTCCAACATTAAAGAATGGGTGGACTTAACTGGCCAGAAAAAATGCTGTAAATTTAAGTTTCACAAAATGTTTATTTTTTTCCATATAAACTCTCGATATCTTAACCGTGTATTCATGGTACGGATGTGAATTTTAAACGCTTTTTAAGAGGTAAACTAAATAGATATCGAAGGCATGGTGCCTGAAGATTTCTTGAATATCAATAGATAATCAGGGTCACGCGATTTTCATCGTCTGAATATACATAGTCAGCACATGTTTGTCGGCTGTTCTTTAGAAAACTGTAGTTGTATATTGAACAAAATAATGTTATATTAAAAGGAGAAGAGCCGACAAACGTGTGCTCACACTTAATCCAACAAAAAATATGTTCGAAAGAAACTTCTAGCTTCCATTGTTATGTCTGCGATTGACCTGTTTAATATTACAATTCATCACGTGATGTCCATCTGCGAGTGTACTCGTGAAAACAGTTACATTGTATTCTTAAACCTGACCTCGATCTAAATTATGTCTTTGAGCGTGTTTTGTTGCCGTTTTCAGAATTTGGCAAAATAAATATTGTTTTAATTTTGCGTGTCATCACATTTTTAAAATAATGACATTGCTGTAATATACTTAACACGTATTCGAATTTATGGAGAGAGAGAGGGATAGAGAGAGAGATGTCAACAATGACGCCTATTGATAGTCCCGCCTCCTATAAATATTGATTGTGTGACATGAAAAACTACTCCGGGTACATGTCGAATTCCGGAAGACGATACCATGTATCGTTGCTTCAATTTTGATACATGACAACATGGCATTGTTTTTGCACAAATGTTCCACCTAATATAACCAAGTATATGTAGCTCCTTCCATTGCTCGTAATATATGATGGATTCACTTCATTTACAGCTTGGTAGAGGAGTCGCAAAAAGATCCAAAATAGGGCGTTAAGTCCACCTATTCTTTCGTATCATTCATGATAAATGGATAACTCCAGTTAAGGCAAATCTACCTATCCTTAACAATGAGCATGTATTAGAGTATAACTTTACTTTGTTTTCTGTAAATAAAATTATTCTTTAACTTAGTATGCCTAAATTTTGAACTTACATTCCATTTTTCTTTCTAATGCACTCAAACGTGTTGCTATGTCTGTCTTCATTTCTTCAACTTTGAAAACCCTGAACAGGAAATAAAATGAATGTTAAAGTTAAGAAACTATATCAAAAGATAGAAAAAACTGCATCTTTTCCTTAAAGAAAATTTAAGTATTTTGACATTTTCAAAAAAATATTTGGATTCTGTTTCATTAAAAGGCATCAAATCAAGAACTTAAAGCACATAAAAGAGAGACCTTTTGCAAAAAAAAAGAATAAAATTAAAAAGAGGGAATCACTTGGAAACGTATGTGTCTGTTGTGATAAACAGAATCATTAATACACTTTTGTAACTTAACTCGTAACGTAACGGAACAGTTTTTGGTATTCGGGAGAGCAAGTTGAAATGCAAGGAGTACACGAGGTGATATTTAAAAAAGGAATTCAAAGTCAACAAGTGGCATGCATACTCGGGATTTCGCATGATTTCATTGTAGAAGGTCATAATTTGTTTCCAGTTAAATTCAAGCTTACGAAGAACAAGTAACTATGTCAACTTTGCTTCAACATTGATATTTCAATCATTCAGAAATGCTTTTTTTCTAAAATCAGGAAATCCCTGTAGATTGTATATAACTCACCCTTCTTTTGATAATTGACTGTGAGTGAGAAAAGGGTTTGAGTTTAAAACTATACATGACACAATATATATGTGATGTACTTATCAATCCTCAGGTGTTGTGTCCAAAGCTATGATGGTGATTCTTGACACAAATTTAAAATAAAATCTAAATTGTCATTAGAGGGCTTTTTAATTTAAAATAATCATTTTTAACATTTGAATCCCTCCACTCACTCGAGGGACAAAAACTGCTAAGAAACACGTCTTACTTGTTGAACTGGGATGCTACTTGTGACAGTACTTGAGTAAAAACTTCTCCATCTCCTGCAAGAAATACAGGTAAATTCAGTAATGTGAATCATAGAATAATTACTTAAGACGTAGGAAACCCTGGCCATTTACTTTAGGTTCTCTCATAATGTCTGCATGCAGCGTTAAATACTGTCTGCACGACACGTGGACGTACAGGTATACACGACATGTCTTGGATATTTATTTCACGAAGCCATTTGACACAGGGTATAAAGTAATAATACTTAAGCTTAGAATTGTTCATAAATAGAGAGTAGAAAAATTTGACTCAGATATCATGAATATCTAGAATATGTGTTTTGCCATTATTTAGGCATGAATCGTATTTTTGAGTTAAATTTTAAAGAACTTAATATGAAGTTAAACCTACATGTCCAAATAAAAGTACGCCATAGTTCTGGTTTGTAGGAAGGAATTAAATGTTGAATACTAGTGTAAAATCAACTTGTTATTGCTGATATGGTCCATCTTTTACATTGAATAAAGCCAAGTGTTTTGGTTTGAAAAGCAAAACATTATTTAAAAAGATACTTAAATGAAAGCTTTTAAAATTATACAATATTCAATATACTAGTAATTAATGTTTTATGGTTATTTACAAGAACCCAAAGCTTTTAATTTGTTTTTTTAATCTTGCTATTTCGCAATATTAAAATTGGAGATTTTCGGACTGAAATAGTATTTTGCTCATTTGTTTGTACAAACAGATAAAAAAAAAAGCTTTCGAAGAATTATTTTTATTACTCCTGTATAAGGTAAGCATTGTCTAAAATCATGAAGGTATCTTTTCAATATTATGTGATTACAAATGTTCTTAATTTTAATCCCCTCTAACTAGGTTATGCATCAGAAAACATACAAGATTACGGGCAGGTAAAGTAACAACTCAAGGCATCATCCACAAAAGCTACTTGCTTTTTTTCAGGATAACGCATTTTTTAAAATAAATTTTCCTTTTTAAATTAAAGCTGAACACGACTTGTAAATAGGCATACACCATTTTCGATGTTATTGCCTATTGTTGATATGGGCACTAGGGTATACTCTTTGTATTCGTTATACCTGACCGCTCCATTGTCACGGTTATCTGCGTGGAATGGCGACCCGTGTTCGTGCTGGTTATCTTGCATTACCTTTTTTAAAAACATTTTATTGTAGTTAAGAATATTTTTGTATTTGTTCTTACACTGCATTGACCTGTGCAACTGTTGTAAGTATCTTTGGTATCTTACTTTTCGTCATTGCAAGAAGTTTACTTTTTTGTCGCTACTGAGTATTGTATAGCATACGTCTACGTACACCGGTGACAATTCATTATACTGAACAGTGACTAAGTGATCGGCTCTTTTTATAGGGACATGCAGATATAGCAAGTGCTCGAACAAATATGGCGAACAAATTCTTTTTACGAATCGTGTTCAGCTTTAAAACACATATCTTTGTTCCACTGAAATTCATAATTTTCTTCTCTGATTAAACAAATTGCCATAATAAAACTTAAACGCGAGATATAGACATCGAATATTTTTGGACGTAAGATTAGGTTCCCTCTAAATAACCACTTCTAAGAAAGTAATTGATACTTTTATGATCATTGCTCTAGGAAGTTTGTGTACAAAGTAATGTTATAGTGTTGGACTATCCCTCTTTCGCTATTTCATGATATTTCTGTCTTTTGTTAAAGAACATGCTTTATATTCCGCCATAATAGGCTGTAATTGAGTTTAGACCAGATCGGTGACAGGAGTCATTTGACATCAGTTATACATGTAAGTAACTGATGATGCATTGTTTTCCAAAAAAAAAAAATAAAAAACAGAAATTTTAGATTACAGAATAGGAATACCTTGAGGCTACAGCATCGAATAGAATAATGACGATGCACTTTATCAGGAAGTCAAGCCTTCTAGAATAGAACTAATTAGCTTTATTACCCTATAGATGCAGGCCTTGTTTCTCATATATTTTCATCAGTACTGGTACTTCCATTTTGTATAGCAGAAATAAAATGTCTCGGATAAAAATAGTGTCCAATTGATAGATTTTATTGTTTATATAAAAATGGCTATTAAACATTAAAAATAAATCTGTTCACCAGAATGCACCATTATTTTATGTGTGTCATCGATTTTTGAATTCACATAAAAATCCATATAAACTTCGAACATTTCTTTGTGATGTTATTTAGGATATTGCATATGAAACATTCGAATTAGAATTATAAATTTATTTTTAACCTTTTCTATGTTTTGATAGCTTCTGGTTTAATTTTTAGCTCTACTGGTCAGAGACCAGAAGAGCTTATGCGATAGTAATGCGTCCGGCGTCCGTCCGTCTGTCTGTCTGTCTGTCCGTCTGTCTGTAAACAATTTTTCAAAATGCTACTCCTCCTACAGTTTTGGTCTAATTTCAATATAACTTGGCACACAAGTAGACTACACTAAGATACATAATTCTGTGTATCAGTTTTTGATTTCAATGAACGGTGTTGCCGTGGTTACTAAAAATAGAAATTTCTGTGAAATTCTTTCAAAATGCTACTCCTCCTACAGTTTTGGTCTGATTTCAGTATAACTTGGCACACAAGTACACTACACTAAGATACATAATTCTGTGTATCGGTTTTTGATTTCGATGAACGGTGTTGCCGTGGTTACTAAAAATAGAAATTTCTGTGAAATTCTTTCAAAATGCTACTCCTCCTACAGTTTTGGTCTGATTTCAGTATAACTTGGCACACAAGTAGACTACACTACGATACATAAATCTGTATATCGGTTTTTGATTTCGATGAACGGTGTTGCCGTGGTTACTAAAAATAGAAATATCTGTAAAATTGTTTCAAAATGCTACTCCACCTACAGTTTTGGTCTGATTTCAGTATAACTTGGCACACAAGTAGAATACACTAAGATACATAATTCTGTGTATTGGTTTTTGATTTCGATGAACGGTGTTGCCGTGGTTACTAAAAATAGAAATTTCTGTGAAATTCTTTCAAAATGCTACTCCTCCTACAGTTTTGGTCTGATTTCAGTATAACTTGGCACACAAGTAGACTACACTAAGATACATAAATCTGTATATCGGTTTTTGATTTCGATGAACGGTGTTGCCGTGGTTACTAAAAATAGAAATTTTTGTGAAATTCTTTCAAAATGCTACTCCTCCTACAGTTTTGGTCTGATTTCAGTATAACTTGGCACACAAGTAGAATACACTAAGATACATAATTCTGTGTATTGGTTTTTGATTTCGATGAACGGTGTTGCCGTGGTTACTAAAAATAGAAATATCTGTAAAATTGTTTCAAAATGCTATTCCTCCTACAGTTTTGGTCTGATTTCAGTATAACTTGGCACACGAGTAGAATACACTAAGATACATAATTCTGTGTATCGAATTTTAATTTTAATTTTGATGAACAGTGTTGCTATGATTACTAAAAATAGAAATGACTGTAAAATTGTTTCAAAATGCTACTCCTCCTACAGTTTTGGTCTGATTTCAATATAACTTGGCACACAAGTAGACTACACTAAGAACATAAAGAGACTTTATCAACGATCATTATTCTATTAATTGCTGTTGTAAAATTTCAAATCCCAGCTGCTTAAGTACTTTTCTTTTCCTTTGCTATAAGTTCAAACCAGTAGAGCTTCATTCTCGACAGAGACTTCTGGTTTAAGGATGATTTTCTTTTTAAAAACATATATACTTAAGGGACTTCTTGGTAGTTTGTTAATGAAAAAGCAATATCTTTAAAAACACAAATATTCCACTAAGATTCTATAATCTATGCATAAACTTCATACGTTACCTGTCGTTGGCGATGGTTCTTTGGAAGTTACTTTATATGGAGAACTAAAAAGAGAGGCAATAAGTATAATTTTTAAACAAAATTTAACCTTTTGTTTTATTTTGTCAGAGCTAATTATTTTTATCTGAAGATTCTTGGGGGAGATTGTTTAAATGTATTTAAATGGAGAAAGGGATTTGTTCGACAAGAAACTTCACTTTATTAATTTAGTTTTTCCTTTCAAATCAATTAAACAAACTGCATGACGGTATGCTTATTGACAAGAAAATCAATTATATATTGATTCCGTTACTTTATAAGACATTATTTAAAAACAATCTATATCGAGACTGCTGTAAATTGATATATTTTGTAGTCTGTCCCTAATTAGGTTTTTTTCAGTAGTTATTCCCGTCACTTTCATTGAAGGTATATATCGTCTCCTTGGATTGGCTTTCTTCCTCAAATTTTCCAATTGTCATAAAACAAAAACAATGTACTTAGTCCGCATCAATCTACTTTGTTTTTTTTTCATATGTGATTGTGTTCTCATTGAATTAATAATTTTTTTTAATTTGTTTATGGTTTCCTTTTTATTTAATACACTTAGCTTTACATGTGATCAATATTATACGATTTTTAATGCTCCTACATTAAACATCCTTTCGGATATTAAACTACTTGCAGTCAGATTCGTCTTTGTTTACAAGAAAGCCGATTAATTAACGTAAGATTTTTTTATCATTAGCGTGAGAATTGTAAACTTACCTTTGAGTGTTTATTGGCATTGTTGGATTCAGGGAAACAAAGGCTCCAGTAGAATCTCTCAGGGATATCTCAGCATATCTAAAGATAAAAGCAATAATCACTCAAACATTAACAAGAACTCATTCTTATTGCTTTGATAACTGTAAATATAATGTTAATTGTAAACATATCTCATCAAACGATGGGTTTTCTTCTATATATAACGTACGATGAAATTTCTGAATAAAGACCAGTTTTTGCGAGATGCGGATTTTATTCATTTTTAACTGGCTACATGTATAGGTAACAAAGATTCTCAGTGCAATACATTTTTAAACGAAGTTCATGAATAGAAAAGCGTTCATATATTTAATAAAGGAAATATAAAGGAAAAATAAAATCAAATCATACAATTCTGTTCTTGTTCATCTTGTGTTATCGCTGTATGTTATTACCACTCTTCAGAACAACCATTTGCAGAGGTCAGGGAAATCATGAGGCATTATTTCTTCAGGAATTATCCTCTATTTATCACAATATACACTGAACAAATGCAAGGTGATAATCTATCCTAATATTAGCATTATCTGACACAGTGGTCATGGCAATACAATAACAGAACGAAAAACATTATGAAAACGACAGTTCGCTTTACATTACAATAAATATTTAAGTAAATGGTCAATTTCAAAAAGGACGTAAATGAAACCCCAAATGTTCGTGTGATAGGAAACCATTCCAAATAAATATTAACATCTTCATTCGTTCCGTAGAACACGTATTGTTTCTATGGTGACACCTATTAGTCAATGCATCAAAATTCTTCTCATTAGATCCATTTGTATCTTATCCTTCTGACAAAAATTCTATTGACGTCACAATTTCGGATTATAAATTCAGCAGTGTTGTCTTCAATAGGATTTTCAACAGCTTTACTAGAGAGTTTTTTTTTGTAGTCTCTCAAATTAAAAGCCAGAGTCCTATTTAAAAAACCTTAAAACTTATCAGAATTTTTTTTCTTGCTCTGGGAAATGTTCGCCCTTTCTGATTTATGCCTAATTTTCGTAAATTGGAGATCATTATTTTGATCTTGATTTCGTGTAGAGTTACCAGAATTTTGACTAATTATTAATTGTTCCAAGATCAAATCAACTGAAAGAAACTCAACTCTTTCTGTTTATTTGAAGACAATGTAAGTTAAATCAAATAATCGCATTGGGCCAATCTATCTCGGGATAGTTCGTCGATAAAACCTGAAGCAATTCACCTCATTTAAATATTAGCCATTCTTCATTATCATCTAGATATCACAGAATTCACTATCAACATAATCAATATAGTAATTCCTCATCAATTTTGGAGAAAAGTGCCCAGGGATACAACAAGATGAACATTGAACAAAAGTTTTCTCAAATTTAGTTCAATTTTTTTTTGTTTCTTGCCAAAGGAGAACGCTAATTAAAAAAAAAACGTTTCGTTATTTCCATAAATGTATTCCGATTTTGGATAATGACACAAGCTATCGCCCCAAGTCTAGATTCAGGTAAAGAAAACATTTATAGACATTTTCCCAACGAAATAGCATGGTGATTATAGAGTTTAAAAAGCACGCAAAAAGATACAACTGTGTCTGTTTTCTAAGCATTTCCGTAACTTTATGCTACGTTTCCGTTTGACTGAAGAGACATTCTTCCAGAATTTGTGTTTTGCGTGTTCGATAAGGATTTCGAAAGTACTTCAGTCAATTACATGTACATCGATTTTTGAATTTTTTATATGCACGGAAAAGACAATTAATGATAGGTTTTGATCTTCTGTTAAATAATTATTCTTTATGCATGTTTTCTTTCTAGATTTTTATGTAATAAAAATATCCAGCCTCTAGAAAGGTGCATTATGATCTACAGTATATTGGTAAGCAGTATGTTTTCAAACAAATGTTTCCATTAAGGTGTTAATTTCTTACGTGTTAACAAAAATTTACATAATAGTGTCGTCATTTTCACACTGAATCTAACATCTACCTTTTGGTTGGTAATGCTTTAAGCAACTTCATGTTACATTTTATCCATTTCAATGGAAAATTATTTACAACATCTGTGTTGAGGACATTTTTGAATAATCTTCTAAGATTCACTTTCATTGATTTTATTAATGTTTAAATGAAAATAACATAACAGATAATATAATGTCTATTAACATAGTTTAGGAAAATATAAAGTCATATATAATTCTAAGTAATAAGGTATCTTTTTTGAGTTTTATTGAGATCCTGATCGCAGCAAAAAGTAAAAAACAAATTTTCAAAATGATCATATTTAAGTGTATCATAATGTTTTTGATAATATATATGAAAAATAAAGATTTTATTCCATAGACAAAAAATACAGTTATATTAGCGTATTAAATCTAATAAAAGTTTTACAAACTTATTCAAATTAGTTCATCAATTCTATAAAATTTCAAGAATTTTTGGCATGACACAAAATCTAAGTTGAAATGTGACACCTTAAAGACTTTAAATGAATACAGAAGAAAGAAAATATGAAAATATAAATCTTTAAAATATAAATGAAATGGAAGTTTTCTTAGAAGTTTTCTTGATCGAGTCAAAACATACGGAATTTGTAATAGCAAAAGCCGCTGTCACTGTCGACCGTCGATATGAGATTCTTTGTTAGTAATATACGTGAGAATACTGTCCGTAACTTGCACATTAGTTCCTTAACTGGTTATAAACTACACAATGTGTGGGGCTTATCAAACTTTACATTTAACAAACATGAAACGCGACGCTGTTTTACCTTCAAAGTTTATTTATGCATATATCTATTTGAAATTTTGTATATTCATATTATATGCAGCAGTTTATAAGTCCACGATTTTACGGGACAACCCTCGTAAAACGTTGCGCTGACACACTGTCCATCTCTATATTACAAGTTTATATATAATTCAATGTATAGCCAAAAATAAAAACAACAAACAATGATCGTTCTAAAAGAAATCCATAGACAATACAGTTGCGCTGACAAACTGTTCATCTCTATATTCAAGATATGACCAAAATCTAAGTTGAAATGTGCGGAAATTCCAGAAAATATAAAGGAATCGGAATTCCCTGGTAATATGCACATCTACACAATGTGTCCTAAATATCTTCAAAGTTTGACGAAATTGTGTGCAGCGGTTTATAAGGAGTTGCGCTGACAAACTGTCCAGCTCTACATTCAAGATATAGCCAAAAATCTAAGTGTAAAAGTGCGGAAATTCCCAAAAATATGAAGGAATCGGAATTTCCTGGTAATATGCACATCTACACATTGTTTCCTAAATATCTGCAAAGTTTGACGAAATTGTGTGCAGCGATTTATGAGGAGTTGCGCTGACAAACTGTTCATCTCTATATTTAAGATATAGCCAAAAATCTAAGTGTAAAAGTACGGAAATTCCCGGAAAAAATAAAGAAATCGGAATTTTTCTGGTAATATGCATATCTACACATTGTGTCCTAAATATCTGCAAAGCTTGATGCAATTCTGTGCAGCGGTTTATGAGGAGTTGCGCTGACAAAAAAAAAAACAGGACTGACTGACTGACACTCTGACTGACTGACTGACGGACGGGTCAAAAACATTATACCTCAAGCAACTTGTTGCGTGTTTTATAATACATGTATCTAAATGTGTTGTTGAAGACCGCGCAAATGTGTTTTTTTTCTTCTCTTGAAATTTCTGAATATATTCTGATTCATAACAACTAAAAAAAAAAAAAAAAAAAAAAAAGGTCGGACTATAAAAGAGTTAGTGCTAGTTAGTGCTCAACGAAATTACAACAGTTGTGGAAGACCTAATTTCCAAAGCCTATAAAATGATGTCAATGAGGAACGTAATATTAACTTTAGAGTACTTTTGTGTAGAATCAGAGCGACTTTTTTTCGAAGAAATTTTGGTGATAGATGACCGAGCACAAGATATGAGAGTTCCTGATTTTTATAGCAGTTGTTGATTATACAAAAAAAAAAGTATAGTTATTAATATATCTTGAGGAATGGTTGTGAAGAAGTCATTTTGATGTAAGGAGTAAAAGGGCTTGGTAGAGCATTTACTGGACCCTGCAATTTATCTTTGTTTGTAGGGATTTTAGGAAGTTTTGGCATCAAGTATATGTAGGGTGGCTCGAACTCACCTTGGTGGACAGGAATGTTCAAGATATTATACACTGAAATGTGATTTTGAAGAATTCGTCTTTAGAAAGTGAACAGCAGGCATGATAAGTAAATTAATAGCAAGTTCTTCGAATTCAAAATACAATTTTAATAATAAGCCTAACCCTTACAAATATGTAGACACATAAATAGAACACCCGTATGAAAGAAAGAATTGGTACACCTAAAAATGGTTATCTTACCGACTCACTCCAGCCGCATGCGCAATCAAGTCGTGAATATCCCTCGATCCACAATGCCTGCTGAACATAATCTACAAGAAAGTAAGGCCATTTCTGGTGTTATCATAAGGCTTCAATTGCTACTATGTATAAATTTTGCTTGAAAATATTTTTTTAAGTAAGCTCTTAATCATCCCCTATCATTAAAAGAAAAAAAATTAAAAACACGGACGAATTTTTAAATAAAATTTATGATATATTTAACAATTATTTCCAGTTTCGCATTATGAGGACTATTTTTACTCAAATAAAAAATTTTGTTTCGCCTATTTTTTTTATCGTTAACCTTACTTTTAAGTTTTGTTTCTTTTAATCTTTAATCAAGAAATGCTTTTGGGTTCGTGAGAACTAACTCAATAAAGGTCAATGAGAATCAATTTATCACAGTTCCTTTGGATCAGTGAACAGCATTTCCGCAGGTGGCTCGTTATTAATTAGAAAAAAAACATAAGACTTTGTATGTGTATAATCATTAAATCCTAAAATGTTTGAAATTTCCATTAAGCTTTATAGAGATTATTCCGCATCAATAAAGACATGAAAGATTGAGTTATCTGTAATCTAAATATGGCTTCTAATGAGCTCCAGGAATGTATTAAAAGTCAATAGTCCGTTCCTGTTTCTATGGTTACTGGTCAAAACAATGATCATCAAATAATGAAGAGAAATATGTTTTTAAATATGATTTAAATACCAAAATCATACATCTTCATACGCCAAGTAAATCTTCAGTAGATACAAACTGTTTATAGATAATAGAATAATACCTGTTTTGCACCTTCGAAAATTAACTGTTTGGACCTGAATAGGGTAATTTTGGAATAACTTTACAGTTGCACCAAAATGGGGGGGGGGGGAGGGGTGTCTCAGTATTGATATTTTTCTGAACTAGGAAGAAATGAATTATAAACAAATTCAAAACATTTTCAAATAAAAGACTTTGCTTCGTATACCTTCATTGACTTAAAATTGAAAGAAATGTTTCTATGTTCATAACTGCACATATTGTAGTTGAGTTTACAATAATTAGCGGACAGCTGCGTGAAGATGTTGTAAGCTTCAAATCTTTGGATATCAATTGAATTCATTTACTGGTGAGAACGGTGTATGTTCATTGCTCTTTATTCTTGTGTCAAGGTACTGCTTTTTAATGCAAATGTTTGACTTTCTCTCATTTTTAAGACGTATGCGTAAGACATTTTAAAAACAATAATGTTTATGCAGCTCTGCAGAAAGTAATTGTTTTTAAGTCGATGATTTTTTGAGAAGTTTGATGATAAATATATTCTTAAATATTTTATTTCCACATTTCCTCAAAATTTGCTTTGCCAGGGCATTCTCTATACATAAGTAACACAGAAAGTTGTTTGTTCTAGCATTGATTAACAAAGGAAATTCAATGGTGAAATAATGAATTTACCCGTTAGAAGATATACGGTCTAATTTACACCCTTTTTATTTATCTTACCTATTGATTATTCCACTCCGGAATTCATTTTAATTTTTTTAAACAGCTGATATGTTTCAAAGATAATACAATTGTATTTTAACAAACACTTGATCGTGTACGTTTACTTTTCTTCGTTTGAATGTTGTTATTTGTTTACTTTTTCTCAAGTTAAGATAATACATAAAATTATGAATTTCAACATCGCTTCTTCTCGATAAATATATATTCATAAGTACTGATAAAAAATCAACTCAATGATTACGCGTCCAGTTTGAAAAAAAACAATTATTAATTAAATGATTTGTAAATTACAAAGAATAGCTTTTAATGATTCAACTGCTTTACATCATAGTTTTAAAATTTTGTTAAATTGTTATAGATCAAAGATCTGTTCATGTTTTTCTTCCTTCTTAAATTATACAAGTTTCTGTATTCATAAAAATAGTCTGATGGTGTCACAATTAATATAAACATTAATTTCGTATCTTTAACTTGAAACCTATCATTAAAAAAACTCAGTTAAGTTACCAAAAAAAAACCCCTAACATTTAAATAGTAATAAAAATACATTACCTTTTCTTTCTTTCCATCAATGTCCAAAAAAACTGTCTTAGTTGGTTCTATTGACGAAGCGTTCCCCATATCAGCGTCTTGATAATTGTTAAATATCAAAGGATCACGTCACACAAGATATTTACATCATAAACTATTACATTTTTCACTACATTCTCCTAACAGTATTCTTAGATGTACTTAGTGTTCTCTCATTGAGCGCTTTTCGCTCTACCAGTCCTGAAAGAACAATGCGGAAAATGTGATTGACTTCAGTGGTTGTCCATTAATTATCATCTATCTCAACGTATTCAAACATCGCTATTATAGACACCTAGTATGAATCAATAGATTGCCAGCAAAGTTTCACCTGAAGTTTCCACCAGGTGTCCCCAGCCTCTGATGCCAACTGTTGCTAGGCAATCCTCTCGCTTCTGTGACGCACTTCCCCAATTGCAATCCGGGGATTAAAAGTTTATATCAAGTCAATTCGTTTCTATGAAATGAATTACGAACATTTACGAGTTGTTTACAAATTATTATAAACGTTCATTAACTTTCTGTTGATGAAGCTCATTCCTGTCAGCTTTTTTTTAAATTTCCGACTCGTGATTAATTATGAGTACACCAATAAATGGAGGAATTTGTCATTGAATATACCTTTTGCTCCGTGAATAACAATACATTGAAATATTGGACAATTATTGATTTGGCTGTTTTAATAATACGTCCCCTGTTATTATACAGCATTCAAATCTAAATATACATAATAATTATATCTAACAGCTTTTGTAATCTGTTTTATCAATAATATTTCTTATATGAAGTCGAAGTCTATGTTTATATAACACTAAACTAATTTTTTTTAGCACTTTAACAAGTGTATTGAGGTCCATTTCAGGGATTCATTTGATCAATATACAAAATCGTAAATGATTGCATCACAGCTAATATCCTCGCGGGGCCAGACCTGGTCCTGTTAAATGTCTTCGCCTTGGAGGACGTGTCACGGATCTTGATAATAAATCTGTGTCTCTCCAAGCTCCATTGTAATAAGAGCTAAGATAAAAAGAGCCACTGTGTCATGAAGGTGATATATATAGTTAATACAGAAACATTTTATAAACACCGATTTGTCAATAATAGTCCTAAGAATGTTCATTTAGATTTTTTTTAAACGTTGATATTTTTACCCTACAAAGGTACGTTGAAATTACAGATTTAAAGAAATCGACTTTCTTTAAATTAGCGTTAGTCTAATACATATCAATATTCATTAGCATGAATTGAAACTTGAAATGATTTATGGTGTTTTGCAATGATAGGAATCACTTTATAATTATGCATTATAAAACTAAAGGTACTGTGAGCAATGAGCTCACTAAATGATACCCCATGCCTCCCATATGATTATAATGGCAAAGTCTATGTTTTGCTCTGAAAGACCCGAAATAAGTGTCGGATCAAAAAGTAAATAGGAGGTGCACAATGGCACTATGTAACAAAGATTCTGTGAAAGTCTCGCGTATTCTAGCTGAGCTTTGGCTAGTGTTGGAAAATGTCCTTTATCTCATGTCTATTTTGATTATTATTATTTGCACTTTCCCTTAAGAGCACATTTAAATTTGTTGAACACAGAAAAATAAAACAAAAGGGTTGCAGATTTGCATCAAAGATGGTTACAAATTTCAAGGAATACCGTGTTAGTGGTTGTAGAACCCGCATGAAATGTAATCATACATTCATCAAACCTTTTCTGCAGGGACAGGGATTGTTATTCCCTTGTGTGATAGATCATCCTTTCTACAATTTCAGAATATCAGGGCCTTCGTCTCACGAAAGCAGTGCACATTTAACAGGGAAATATATACATTTGTATTTTTAAAATGTCTAGGGCAGAGTTAAATGAATTTTTAAATCCTCATTTGAAGGAGCAACAAGGTCATAAAGTATCAACCTATGATGATGCAAGGTGAAAATTAATCATGTTGTGAATTTATTAATATTTGTTCAAAACTGTGTAACACATGTAGCTTAAACTTTATAAACTTTCCATGTAGGGAGAGGGCGAAATAAGTTTTGAGAACTTGTCCCCAATCCCATTGTATATATATATATATATGTATTATATATATATATATATATATATATATATATATATATATATATATATATATATATATATATATATATATACCTTTTGCTCCGTGAATAACAATACACTGTTACAGGCCGCAGCTACAAAATACTAGGGAATTTGTCCTGTCAGACTGACAACTGCATTTATCTCATCAGTTGCAAAGTTTGCTCCAAACAGTATATTGGTGAAACAGGAGATCTCCGCAGGAGAGTTAATAACCACCGCTCGACCATTAGGACCAAAAAACTCAATGAACCCGTTGGGGAACATTTCAATCTTGAGGGTCACAAATGGGAGGACATGACAGTTGGTGATTGACCATAACCCAAGATGGACAGATGCTCAGAGAAAAAGCAAAGAAAAGTTCTGGATGCACAGATTGAAGTCATTCCGCCCTAATGGCATTAACAAACTGAATGACTTCACCAGAATGAACGTAAACTAGACCCAATTCCTGATGATACTAAACAAGATTATTCTCTCAATTTAGTGTTAACTCTACAGTTAATTTGCGTCACCAACTCTCGGACAACCCACAAAACTATTTATTGTTTACGCTTTTGTTAAGAAAATTTTTTTCCCGGTAATAAATACTTAAATATTTCAAAATTTATAATGGATCATAATTCATATGTTTAAATATCCCTGCTATATTATTTTTCTTTGATGATTCTTTATTAAGTAAAGTTATGCCATTTTGAGAGAATGAAACAATGTACGATTTACTGATTATCGTAATTAATTAGCATAATTAATTCGTTCAATTATCACAAAACTATTTATTGTTTACGCTTTTGTTAAAAAATTTTTTTCCCGGTAATAAATCCTTAAATATTTCAAAATTTATAATGGATCATAATTCATATGTTTAAATATCCTTGCTTTATTATTTTTCTTTGATTATTCTTTATTAAGTAAAGTTACGCCATTTTGAGAGAATGAAACAATTTTACTGATTATCGTAATTAATTAGCATAATTAATTCGTTCAATTATGTAAATCGCACTTCACCCGAGTATACCCGATAGACCGGACGCATTTCACAGCGGTCCGGATTTCTTTCTTTATTAGTGTTCTTAATATTTCCAATTCAACATGTAATTATGTAAATATCTAGTGTTTAGTAGTTTAGTAGTAGTGCTAGGTCTTTTTGTTTCTCTTTTTCCTTTGTTTTTATGACTTTTTAACTTTTTTCTTTGTCCTGAGGAAGGGACAGGGCGTCAAAATTTGACAATTTTTATTGTTCGTGTCGTTGGTCATTTTAGTGCTTTATATATATATATATATATATATATATATATATATATATATATATATTACAATAGAATATGTTCAATTCAATTCAAGGTGAAAATTCACGATTCATTAATCATTTATCATTCAATAAAAATGGAATTCGTTAATTTACTGACCTTGTCATTGGTCATTTGCAAAACTACTTTGTTAAAAAATCAAGTACCATGAAGTTGATGTTAAAATGATCCTCGAGTTTCTTATGTACAATATCTATTTGATTTTAAATTTGGAGACCAGGTCTTCCAATTTTCTTTTGGAATTCCCATAGGTATCAATTGCGGCCCGTTATTAGCAGACCTATTTTTGTATTCATATGAAGGAGAATTTGTTCAAAATCTTTTACGTGAAAAGAAGAAAACACTTGCTGTGGCCTTCAACTCGACATATTTAGATATATCGACTACGTATTATCGATTAATAGTGGTTGTTTCAATTCTTATGTCGACACGATATATCCCGGTAAGCTTGAAATAAAAGATACCATAGAGTCTGAAAAATATACGGATATTTTAATAGAAAAAGACGTTAATGGTAATCTAAAAACAAAGCTTTAAGATAAATGTGATAACTTTTCAACCATCAATTTCTCTTACTTATGCAGCAATGTACCCTTAACTTCTGCACACGGGGTTTATATACATTTATTATACTTCTGTTAAAATGTTTCCTATATAAATCTAAGAAGGCAAAATAACTATTTTTCATAGTCTGAAAATTTCTACGCATAGAAAACTATATCCCTGGGTATAGTTTTTGCAACTCACCCCTCGGAAAATGTTCATACAATTTTGGTCGCCAATTTTGATTCACTGCGATAAATCTATAGACTGATGATTTCATAATGACTTCAGTAGATGATTCTATGCGAATGCTCTACAATTTCTAAAACGAGGTGAGTTATTGACAAACAAACTGATGAAGCAAGAATATTAGCATTCTCATTTAAAGCCATAATTTCGTAAGTTCTATGGTCGATACAATGACCTTGTCAGCAAATACAATCGATCACTGAGTCAAATGCTGACTGACGTTTTTCATACGAACTGTTGTTAGGCAATTATATATTTACCCAAACTTAAAAGTCGACGGTTTTTTCCGTTATTTCCCGACAAGGAGCAAACGGCGGGTGTGAACGGTCAGCAGTGAATGCATACTCCTCCATGGAACCTGATCCCATCTCTGATGTCTAGAGGTCCGTGTTTGCTCTGTTTCTATTGTAATGTTTCATGGACTTTTGAACTTAAGGACGCTGACTAAACACTGCACACTAAAAAGCTCTATTTATTGGGTAGTTTTATGCAATTAGAGTGATCTGCTCTTAGATGTAAGATTAAAGAAATCGTTATTTACTGTTAATTACATAATTTATAATAGATTAAAATATTTTTAGCAATACATAAGACTAAGAGTATGATATTTAATTAATTATTTTCATTAATTTTTCCAATGTATGTAAACAACAGTGATTTCCGCTCACAAATATCAGTAGTCTATTGTCTTTGAACATTTCTCCTGCGCAAATAAGGCACGTACCCTATGTTCTAAATGAATGAAAAAAGTCTCAATATACATAACTTTATATGTAGTGTTGGCAACGAGTACCCGGTTAACCGGTTAACCGTCGAACGATGCGAGTATCGGTTAGTAAAACTGCTATTCGGTTACTCGGATAAAATGCATCTTATATGGTAAATAACTAAAAAATAAAATGTTAATTTGTTTATAAGCGTACAAATAAACATTTCTCTAATTTTCTTTACCGTTAGACTTAATGATCTATGGTTTCACTAATACATTTGATTGGTTTTCACACTTAGTTGATAGCTTAATTGGATTGCCAGCAGGTTATACAAGTTTTGAAGACCCAAGTTATAATTCCCTCATTAAATGATTTAAAA